CCTCAACCGTCGACAGTCCTCGACACTCTTCAATCGGCTCATCTGCCCCCAGCAACCGACTCTCGGGCCGGCCGGAGACAACTGGTTCGCCGGTCTATCCGCTCGTCTGTCCGCCTGCCGAAGAGGCGCAAGCCTGCTGGTCTCGGTGCTCCGGTGTCATGGGTCTCGAGCCTGCCGTGATATCCGCCTCGGGCCAGCTGTACCATCTTCTCGTCGTACCGGTCGGCCTGCCCGGCGCCTGGGACACCCTTGCCCAGGTGCGACTCGGACTGTTGCGCGCCTACTATTGGACGGCGCCGAGTTCGAGACTCGCAGATCGGGCGAGACGGAGACCTGTCGACGCGGAGTGGTCCTCTTCGCGTCAGCTGCTGTCGTCGGCGCCGCAGAATCCACACGTCCCGGACCCCAGAAGAGGTGGTCAGGCCGTTTCTGTGGCTCTTGTCGCCAATGCGCAAAGGCTGGAGCAGAGTTGTCAAGAGGTTGGAGAGCCCGAGAATGCGGCCAATTGGGCGGATCGTCGTCTCGTGGCGGGTTGGACAAATGAGAGCACTGCCGATCTGGTCACCGGGACTCATGCGCAACACCGACTTTTGGGCCACATAATGGCGCCTCTAGAGTCGAGTCAACCCATGAAGACTGAGGAGGAGTACAGTTCTACTGTGAAAGCATCGTTTACTCCTTCAGAACCGGTGGAGATGTCGCGGGAGTTTGGCAAAGACGAAATGGAACGAGGCGAACTGACTGAAATGGAGCTACATCGCGAGGCGAAAGGAGGCGAGGCCGAGCAGCGAGAGGCTTTGGAAGACCTGGAGCCTCGAGAAGAAATGGAGGAGGATGTAGACGAGTTGGAGGAAATGCGGGAGGAGAGAAAGGCGCGTCAACAGGCCGCCGTCAAGGCGACCGGCGATCCGATCGAGATAACTCTGGCTCAGCTGATGAGGCTGGAGGCGTATGCGGCCTGCATTTTGTGAGTTTCCAGGCGTTGCAAGTCCCCGTCTGTGACACACTACTCAAAATGTACTACTGTCTATTCTAAACTTTACAGCAGGTCTCGAATTTGCCATCATTTGTATGGCGGCTACTTGAAGGACAGGGTGGTGAGGTGATGATTGGCCTGTCCAGGAGGCATCCAAGACACACTGTCCTGAAATGGCTGCTTGCTTGAGTGACTGTTGTGTGTCACCACCTTATTTACAGGACATTTGCTCTGCTCCTTCATATCGAGATGGTTCTGTACACTTGCCTTCAAAACGCCAACTTGGCCGAAAATATCTTGACATAAAGGCTAATAGGCCTTTGCAGCGGGTGCAACTTGACATTTAGGCTTCTGTCAGCACGGGATTTGTCCAACCCAGCATGAAAGCGATTGTATCACTGTAGTACGATTTCATCCGACTCATAGTCCAGCCCCTTCTGGATTTGTGTTTGGCCTGTGACCTGATTGGCTTGCATTGACGATCATTTATCACTTTAGTGTAGTTGTCTTCATACGGGTTTACTCATTGTTGACACTCATGCATAAGTGTGTGTGTGTGTGTGTGTGTGTGTG